TATATAAATTGCCTGATATATTGAATATATTTACATGTATATGTGTTTGAAAACATTAATTAAAAAACAAAACTGATTTTCCGTTCTTTGTGTGGATAATGTGAACATATGTGTAGTTATTAAAATATTGTGATTTTATTGGCATCTCTGTCCATTCTGGTGGAAGTTTGAATACAAATATAAATCAGTTCAAACAGAAAAACAATATCAAGTGTGTCGAATATTATTTATAACGCAATTGGCTTCAGTTTTCTAATTATTTGTTACATAAAATAAGTACAAACATAAAAATGACTCAGTATAGAAAATTCGAATAATTACTACTCAGGACTCAGCACTGTATACCAAGAATGAAAAATGTTTCAAAACGTATGGAACATGTTATGGACAAACAAGCTTCCGATACATTGAAAAAAACAAAGGTTTAAACACAAAGTGGTTATTGATACAATTTTATTGTGTGAAATTGAGAACATTGCCCTGAGAGGAAGTAAAGTTGTTAGACGCACATAATCCGAGGGAAGGAAATTTGAGAGCGCTATTGTCATATAGAGCGGATGGGGATGAAAAACTTAAAACAACCCAGTGGGAAAATGTAATCGATGGTAAACGAACGGGTAATGCACGGCCACTACGGTTTTTTTTATTACAGTATTCATTATCCGTAACAAACTGCATGTCCCACGAATATAATAAGTTCTTCTATACTATTTTTATTGAAATTATGTTAAGGATCAATAATTTCACTATCTGTTATTATTTTCTTTATTCACTATATTTGCACAACTTTTTTTACTATTTTTGCTATCAGTTTTCCCCCCGATTTTAACAAAAGGGAAAGGAGTGCTATCAATATGTATTAAATTTTTTGGGCAAGGTTTCTAAAGAAGTCAAAGAATGTTTCCTTTGCATAAAAAGGAGAGAATTATCGATCATCGATCATAATAAACACTATAAACAGGTTCGTAAACAATATTTTTGAGAGGTCGAGCGTCTACCATGTGAGACAATTATAATGGAGTGCAGGTCATTATTAAATGAAAATTCCCTTCCACAGCACACATTGTTCCTCTCACAATTTAAATTTAAGATTAAATGCAGTTCGAAGATTAGAAAGAAATTCGATGTGTATTTTCTACAATTTCGGAAATTTGCTAATTCTTTCAAAAATCTTCGAAAAGCAAATAAAGGATTACATTCATATTGTGAAACACGATGCGTTGTGGGGCATGATTGTGTATAAATATTTAACGAATCTATATAAGAGGTAATAGAATCTGTGGAACAATTAGACTATTAATTTGGACATTGTCAATGCTAATGATCACATACATTTAGTAGTTGATAAGTTAAATGATATACGACCAAGTAGTGACGAGGAATTCTACAAAATATACATTGAACCAAAAGTTATTGTCTACAAATTTGGGGTAGAAGTTCTTGTGCCAAGAAATGTTTGTACGCAAAAGTACAGTTCAAATGTAATGAGTTCGAACTTCGAATCTTTTTATAGAACTAAATTATTTGTTCAATATTTGGGCGAAGTAATTGTAAATTTAAAAAGAAGATTTCTGGAAAATGAAAAAAACAAAACTTTATCAAATGTAGTGCCATCAAGAATTATAAAATTTTTATATAACGATCTTAAAGAAATCGTACAGTTTCATGAAAAAGATTTTCGAAATTGTAAGCAGGAAGTAGAAACTGAAGTGGATCTGTGGATCACGACGTGTACTCATATTACATTTAAGGATGGAAAAATTTTACATTTTATACCCTCTACCATAGTATGGAGGGTATATTAATTTTGTCATTCCGTTTGTAACACATCGAAATATTAATTTCCGACCCTATAAAGTATATATATTCTTGATCAGGGTAAAATTCTAAGACGATCTAGCCATGTCCGTCCGTCCGTCTGTTGTAATCACGCTATATTATGAAGGAATTGAGATAGGGTGCTGAAATTTTGCATAAAGTTGTCTTTTGTCTGCAGGCAGGTCAATTTCGAAGATGGGATACATCGGTGCACGTTTAGGCATAGCTCCCATATAAGGGTACCCCCCAATTTTCCGTATTTTGAGGTTCCTGAGCGTGTTTTCAACCGAATTCGCTAAAATTTGATACTTTGAGCTCTTATTGGGCAGCAAATCTCCCTACTAAAAATTATAAATATAGGTCAATGATTTCTGGTACCCCCATATAACGGTACCCCCCAATTTTCGGTATTTTAGGGTTCTTGAGCGCGGGGTTCAACCGAATTCGCTGAAATTTAATACATGTGGTTCTTATTGGGTACCAACTTGCCCCACTAAAAATTATAAATATAGGTCCACTTTTTCTGGTAGCCCCATATAAGGGTACCTTCCAAATTCCAGTTTTGGGGGGTTTTGACCTCATTTTTTCACCGAATATAATTTAGTATTTTGAGTCCTTAATAGGTACCAAATCTTCCCACAAAAAATTATGAATATAGGTCCATTTTTTCGGATAGCCCTCATATAAGGATACCCCCAATTTTCGGTATTTTGGCTGCAATTTGGTATTTTGTAGTTGTATATAGTAACAAATCTCCCTACCAAAAATTATTAATATTCGCCCCCCTTTTTGGGGTAGTCTCCATATAACCCCCTTTTTATACCCTCCACCATTGTATGGAGGGTATATAAATTTTGTTTTTCCGTTTATAACTTTATATTGTCGGAAATGATTATCCGACAATTTCTTTGTGCATATGTTTGTAACTGACAAAAATAATCGAGATAGACCCATGGTTCCTTTTGAGAATATGTATAGAATCACTTTCTATGTCGATTTATGCATGCCCGTCCGTCTGTCTGTCTATCCATGTTAAATTGTAAACAAGGTACAGGTCGCATTTATGATCCGAATTGGACGAACCCTATTGACATTGGGAAAATCGGTTCAGATTTAGATATAGCTCCCATATATATTTTCGTCCGATTAAGGGTAAATGGTGCACCAAAGTCCCTATATATCTATTGATTTGCACGAAATTTGGCACAGCGTAATGAATAAGGTCACTTAGAAATATTTTGACTTGCACGGAATTTGGTACAGCGTAATGAATAAGGCCTAGAATGATGTTTGCCAAGTTTCGTGAAAATCGGTTCAGATTTAGATATAGCTTTCATACATATCTTCGTCCGATATAAGGTTTATTGTGTACCAAAGATTTTAGGTAAATAGTCCACTAAAGTCCCTGGAAATCTTTTGATGTGCCCGAAATTGAAATTGTAATTGATGAATTAGATCGAGAATGATGTCTGCCAAGTTTCGTGAAAATCGGTTCAGATTTAGATATAGCTCCCATATGTATTTTCATCCGATTTAAGGTAATTGGTGCACCAAAGACCCTATATATCTTTCGATTTGCACGCACTTTGGTATAGGGTACTGAATTAAGTCTAGGATGATGTTGCTAAGCTTCGTGAAAAGATCCATAGCTAGGCCGATTGACACAACGTACTGATGTTATATAAATTAGTCTCTGGCAAGTTTCCCTGAAATCGGTTCAGATATAAATTTATAACAAAACGCGTCGTCTGTTAGGATACATATGTAAAATATACCCAAAGTGGTGAAGGGTATCATATAGTCGGCCCAGTCCGACTTTACTACTTTCCTTACTGGTTTATATTAAAATAGTTATGCAATTTGTTCCGCGTTTTGGGTTTGGTTCTAAGACTCTGTTGTAATCATAGCACCTGCGGTGAATATCGAGATAAAGACCTGAACGTAAGGTTCGATAATGAACTATATATGAACTACAACCCGTATTTAGACCTAGCCCCTGTGTGGAAGGTACCAGAAGGAGTGGACCGATATTCCCCATCTTCGAACATGAACTAAGCTTGGAAGAGATAATAAGATGACCAAAGTTTGTATGAAATCAAAATTTTCTGAAACAAATTTGGTCCAAAGAAACATGGGGTCTAGGACCAATGTTTAGGTTTGTAGAAATGTCGGTATAGGTACACTTTTTGGTATGGTCCTTATATTTTTATTTCAAATACCTGTCAGTATATCTATGGTGGAGGGTATCCAAAGTTTGGCCTGGCCGAACTTAACGCTTTTTAACTTGTTTATTTTCACTACGATGACATTGAATCTAGACATCCTAGAAGTAAGGGAGACTGGGACAGCTTCGGCTTTGGGACACATTTGCCAATGGCGTTTTCTATATGAAGCTTTCATTGAACATCACTTGCTTTGATCTCTAGGTATCGAATATCAAAATAAATAACTGTCACAGGGTATGCTCTAGCTAATAAGTTTTTTTTTCGATGCAGGGGTTTTTGTATTTTTACGTATTGTATTTTTCGAAAGTATTTCGTGTAAAAAACTTTTCAAATTTTACGACAGTATTATTTATAAGTCGTTAATTAAAATGCATATTCTTATAAAAGTTCTTAAAAATATAATAAGATTAGAAGATTGATAGAAACAAATGAAAAAAGCTATAGACATTACCCCACTTTAAAGTGGGGTACATTCGTACAGATACAGAAAGTGCTACAGTAGACTACGGATATAAGAACATCCCAAAATAATCGAGAAATTTGTTCTTATAACAAACTGTTTTCAGTTATGGGCGAACCATTTTCTTATATCCGTGGTCTACTGTATATTATTTCTTTAAAGCGATTTTGGGTCGGTCTTTAAAAATAATCCTTTAATATGGTTCGAAATTGCATATATAGGATTAAAAGTGCTTTTATTGGCGAAAACGCTTTTTATATCGTCAATATCTATTTCTGATGGTGTGTGTGGCCTTAAAAGTCAAACATTGAGTCGCATTTTAAAACAAAATAGAGGGTCTGAATTCCAGCCAAACTGATAACAATGATAATTACCAGGCTATGTTTATGGGTGCGGAATGTGTCCCAATGTGTCAAATGCAGAAGCTACTTTAAAAACATTTGTTAAATTTGTCGAATTTATTTAATAAGTTTTAGATATTACAAAATATGACTTACCTGCCAAAAAATATAATGCACTGGTTATACCAGTCAGGTCAACTGCATATACTGTATATAAATTACTACAAACAGGTTTCTCCGGCTGTAGTTGCTTAAGGATATGCCTATCAAGCCCAACTTCAACAGCCCTTCGTATTCTATAAATATTAAGGAAATTAAAATGTTAAGTTTTTTGTGATGAGCAAATACAAAATAGTAAATGAAAGAAGATAAAACGTCAAACGGCGTAAAACGAACACGCCCTCCACCGTAATACCTAAAATCTTTCGAGACCTATATTTTTATGTCAAAACATGGATGGATTGGAGGAGGTGTATTGGGGAATTATATGGAGGATTAGCATTTTTTTTTTGTTAAAAAATAATTTTTACTTTGTACACATTTTTGGACCAACTCGATAATCCAAAAATATATTTACTAGTTGAATATTAAATAGAAGCTCTCAAACATTTTGTTGCTTGTGGAAACATTGGGTTAAAGACAATTCATTTGGAAAACGTATCTGAAATCCTTTAAATACCAAAAAATGGCGGTGCTGTTATATAGTATATCCGAAAAAATGTATATTGAAATAAATAATGTAATTAAAACCAGTAAACATTGGGTTAAAGACAATTCATTTGGAAAGGAAAGTGGCGGTGCTGTTATATAGTATATCCGAAAAAATGTATATTGGTAATTAAAACCAGTATATGATACCCTTCACCACTTTGGGTATATACAACAGATAAATCCTAACAGACGTCGAATTTTTAAAGACCAGTAAAATGAAATTAGATCAAAAAACATGTCATTCTACAAGCGATACTAATTTTTTTCATTTGGTCAGATATAGAAGCTATATGTAACTTAACACACATATTTCTAGACCAAATTCATTACACTGTGCCAAATTCCGTGAAAATCGAAAGATATATACAGACTTTGGTGCACAAATACATTAAATCGGACGAAAATATATATATATATATATATGGGAGCTATACATAAATTTGAACAGATATTTACGAAATTTAACACACATCACTCTAAACCTAATTCATTACGCTGTGCCAAATTCCGTGCAAATCGAATAATATATAGGGACTTTGGTGCACCAAATGCATTAAATCGGACGAAAATATATATGGGAGCTATATCTAAATCTGAACCGATTTTTCACAATTTCAATAGGGTTCGTCCTTGGGCCAAATATGTGACCTATGCCAAATTTCATCCAAATCGGATCATAAATGCGACCTGTACTTTGTTCACAAAAATACATGGACGGACGGACAGACGGACAAGCGTAAATCGAGGTAGGAAGTGATTCTATGTATATTTTCAAAAGGAACCATGTGTCTATCTCGCTTCCTTTTGCCTGTTACAAACATATGTACAAAGACATAATACCCTATACCACAGTGTGGTGAAGGGTATAAACATTGTCACAATTATTACTTGGATAGACATATGATCTCTGAAATTTGAGTTATTTTTGCCATAATAATTAATGTTTTGGTTTCTACCATCAATTCTTATAGATAATTTTTAAAGGTTTTTTTTTACAATAATTTGTGTCTGTTTTTAATTTTGATTTGCTCCAAAAATATATATAATTGCCTAGAAACAAATACCGATATAATACAGCGGTGGACATTCGTTTGAGCGCATATGATGTCTTTGAGAATTTGTTTTGAAAATACATTTTTTTAAACAAAATAGTGAATTTATTTAAGGTATCAAATATGAAATAGAAATCAAAAACTTTTTTCATACACTTTTTGATATAACTAAAAATAAGGCATATTTTGCCTTATTTTTCCAGGAAATTCTTATTAAATTAATAATTAGCATATCCACCGCCATTTTAGGTAACATATAGAATACGGTTTGATAAAGAGTATTCCAAATTTTGGACAGTATTTACGCTGATATCTAACCAGCATTCTTTCACAGCATATTTAAGGTAATTTATAAAAGAAAACATTATGCCGAGTTATACACCTTTGCCACAGGAATCTCCTATACGTTTTCAATAGGATTACAGTCTAGAGTGAAAGCCGTCCGTGGTAAAATATTTATATTTTTGTCAGAAAACCAAGTTTTTGTTTGCTTCGAGGCTAGATTAAAACGTTATACTGGTGAAGAATTATATTCTTGTCCTCTTTTGAATCAAAATGTGTTATTAAAACGTCTGACCAAAACTGACCAAAAAGTCGATTTTTAGACTTTTCGATTTTTGCCTTTGACTAAAAAGTCGACTTTTCGATCTTTCGATTTTGTCAAAACTGTTCAAAATCGATTTTCGACTTTTACAGACTTTTGCAAATCGACGAAAAATTCGATTTTTTATATGAATTATTGTGAACAGATAAGGTAAAGTTCCGGAAAGTGCAATTTTTGGGCAATTTGAGCTTTGTGATAAAAAACCAAGTATTTATGAAGAGAATCGAAAGTCAATCATGAAAAGTCGACTTTACGATTGTTTCATCGATCAAAAGACGACTTCGACTCTTAGACTTTTCAATACAAAAAGTCGATTAATCGATTAGTCGAAAGTAGACTTACTTATCCCTAGTGGACACATCACAAAGTGGAAGCTAATATTCGTATGAGTATGCACCCTATACCATATGACTTCCCCCAGAAATTCAGCTTCGATCTTAATACAGGTTTTTTACATTTTCGTGTATGTTATTCTCGTCAGAAAATACTACTTACATAGCTGGCTTCTTACAGCACGGTTGTTCCATAAGCCGAGCTTAAAAAAGATTTCCAAGCGAGTCGGTCTTGTGCGCATCTCCTCCAATTTGAAAGAGCCACCGTAGTCGCTGCTGCTCAATACGACTGACTATGTCGATGTCTGCGTATAAATTTTAAAACTCGTGGTTCATTCGACGGCGATATCCACCATCGACTCAGATCGGCCCGTAGAACTTTCGGAGAATTTTTCATTCAAACACCCCAAGAGCTGCCACATCTTCAAAGATGGCTGTTACCGCTATCAATGTTCGACCCATTATATCGATATCATTGGCGTAAGTGAGTAACATGTGTTGTTTGGTGTACAGAATGTCTGAATCCTGGTTCGGTATTGAAGGGCTCCGATATGTCCTTACCGACTTTAACTGCTTAATTTTGCAGGAATGCCAAACGTAGACATGGCTTTAAACACCTCTGAACGGATAGGGCTGTCGAAAGCGGTTTTATAGTCAACGAATATGTGGTATGTGTCGATGTGTTTTTCGTGGGTCTTTTCCAGGATTTGGCGCAGAGTGAAAATTTGGTCAATGGTGGATTTGCCAGGTCTGAAGCCGCAGTGGTATGGTCCAATAATGCCATTGACCATTGGCTTCAGTCGTTCACACAGCACACTGGATAGTACTTTATATGCGATGGGAAGAAGGCTAATTCCTCCTGATCGTACCATGGGTTTCTTGATGGTGGGTTTTGGTACACAAGTGTTGCTTTTGCTGCAGTTTGTAGGGTGCAATTATTTGCAATTGTGCTTCTATACTATTAACGGGACAAGAAGTGCTTTCGTCAAGCAGGTGGGTAAGTTGAGCCGAGTAGGCCTCGGCAACCTGTTGTGTTTGCAGCTTTTCGATGTCGAGTTTCCGTGTTGTGTTAGATCGCACCTTTGCTGCAACATTAAGACGAGTGCGAACCTTGCCTGCTACAAGGTAGTGTTCCGAATCGATATTCGCTCCTTGGAACGATCGAACGTCTAATACACTGGATAGACCTTCCGTCTATCACAACATGATCAATTTGATTTCTCGTTGCTTGATCAGGAGAAATCCAGGTGGCCTTTAATGTCATGGCCAGGGCAGCGATCATATGCTGTTTCTAGGCGCTCGTAAAATATGTCTTTGGTCTGTTCATCTTTGTCTTCGGTCGGAGCATGGGCGCAAATAAGACTGATGTAGAAGAACTTCGCTTTTATGCGAATTTTAGCAATTCGCTCATCTACTGGAGTGCATCTGTAGCCGGGGCCACAGACATGTACAACGTGCGCACATTCCAAGTGCAGATTCGCAGATCGTGGTCCTTTATAAGTTTGCTAGGGGGGTCGTCAACAGTAAGGGGGTTTGGTTTTCTTTTTCTTCACTTTTTCATAGTAGGAGAGGTTTTTCGAGTGTGGGCAACTAACCCGACGCCTCAGCCCATTTTTTTATAGTTCTTATGGGTGAAATCGCGGCACATATCAGTTCACTATTTCAACGGATGATGAAAATAGCTACCCCATGTGAAACCGCGGGGAGATCAGTGTACACAATTGAGATGAAAGGGGGACAAAGATAAGCCAATCATCCCCTACAACTCCTGTCAGAAAATATGATCATTTATAATTTATTTAACCAAGTCATATGCATTTATCAAATTCCACAAAATTTACTTGTAAGCGTTCGTTCAACGTAGCTTGGTTATTAGTTTAGCCCATCTTATTTACGAAGTCGACATTAAATACCGTGAAATGGTGCGTATTGTAACAGATAGCTAAAAAAATTCTTTAAGTTTGTTGTTGGAAAATCGCTTTTTAGATGGTTTCATTCGAATTCGTCCTTTATATCTTAAAATAGAAATGGAATTTCCTTTGTTGATGACTTTATACCACAATTTTTCATTTTTAGACCCTTAATCTATTCACACACTCTGAATGATTTATTAATTTTCCAATTATTGTATTAGAATATCCATATTTCCTCCTAAAATGCAAAAAATATGAGTAATTTATTACACTTTTTTATTTTTCTTTTTTGAATTGATCCTTGACAAACTGCTTACAAATATTTATTTATCCATTCTCAAGTCTATGTTTGTTTTTTACATTATTTTTTATTTTAAAATGAGCTGCGCTCAAACGAATTTCCTGTCAAAATACGGCCTTATTTTTAGTTTCTTCAAAAAATGTATGACAATTTTTTTGGTTTGTATTTGATATTCGATCAAACGAATGTCCACCACTGTATAAGCAAATATACCATAATAATAATAAAACATAAAATGACATAAAAAGAAATATCAATATTGTAAAAAATACAGTTACTTTAGTTACGGTGTCTTATTAGCCCATTTGAAATGTTGAGAAATCGAAGCCAAAAGTAAGTTATCGAACAAACCTAGAATCGAAAAACATGAATAAAAATCTGTC